TCGAGTCCTGTGTGCATCTCTGGGCCCAACCGGTTGACATGGATGGGAAGGTCCTTGAATGTGTCCCGAGGAGGACAACCGAGCTGGTGGCGGGGCGGGAAGGCATGTCCTGAGGAGCGGCTGAGGACTCCGGGCTTGTCTCGTTTGGAGAGAAGGATGCTGAGGGGTGACCTCATGGCTCTCTGCAGCTTCCGGAGGAGGAGACATGGAGAGGGAGGTGCTGAGCTCTTCTCCCAGGGATCCAGTGATAGGATGCATGGGAATGGTTCCAGGCTGTGTCAGGGGAGGTTTAGACTGGACATTGCAAAACATTTCTTATCCAAGAGGGTGGTGAAACAGTGGAACAGACTTCCCGGAGAGGTGGTCAATGCCCCAAGCCTGTCAGTGTTTGAGGCATTTTAGGGCCAATGCCCTAAGCAGTATGCTTCAACTTCTCGGCAGTGCTGAAGTGGTCAGGCAGTTGGACTAGATGGTCATTGTTGGTCCCTTCCAACTGAAACAATCTAATCTATTCTGTTCTATTCACCTGGTAAAAGCAGCACAAGCTTGTAAGTAGTAGTGGTGCAATAATTACAAGAGTGTTGTCATGGTGGTGACGATGAATATTGGGAAGCAAGTCCTCAGCTTAGATACCTGAGCAGCAATGCCTGGCAGCACTCTTTCGCAGTCAATTAGAAAAGAAATACAGAATTAAGTTTCCAGCAAACCCCCTCCTTCCCATCTTGCCTCCGTCCTATCTAACTGTATCAAACTTTCACATGCAAATCTGATTATACTGATAATCAATCATGAGCCCTGATCCACTTGCTAAAGAGATGATGTCTTCCAAGGAAGCATCCCTTACATACAGTCTGCACAGGATAGTCTGCTGCCCAGGCATGCGCTTGGTGTTCGATCACAATTAATCTCTTGGAATAAGCAGGAGACACGTTTCAGAGGTTATTTTTGCCATTGGACGTCAGGACCTCCATACCTTACTTGTTGTTTAGAAGGCTGGGTTGAACATGCCTCTCTATTTAGTTCATGTGGGCTAACTGCAGGTTGTGCAGACTTCCTTTGTGCTATTTTGTCTTTCTCATCTGCTTTCCTATTCAAATCCGTACATGCCACCGTGGGAGTTTTATGCTTTTCTGCATGTGGGTTTTATTGCTAATCACAACAGAGATCATTGAAGCAGCGAGAAAAATGTAAGTTAGATACTGCAGTCAATCAAGTAATTCTAATTCCCAGGCCTTATTGTGTTCAGCCTTTTTGGTTTTATGAATTGTCACCTCCAGACTACCTAAATTACATTTTAAAAAGAAAGAAAAAAAAAATCAGTTGTTGTTCACAGGTACTGATCTAATACTATTGTCTTGAATTCTTCTATCTGCTTTGAGACTCTGCATCTGAGATGCTGCTATTTGATAAATTCACAATTTTATTTAAACTTTTTAATAAAAAATTAGATACGCATTAGGCCAAATGCAAAACCATGATTGTTTTCCAAAGTCAGGCTTACTTAACTTCTCTACTCTGTGGTTAACAGTTTCCTGAAAACAAGCTTCCTTCTAAATAATTTTGATTATTTTTCTAACAGTACAATAACCCAGAATAATCCATTTGTGGTTTTTTTCCCTTAGCAATTGAGATAAATTGCATAAAGTTTGTCAGTTTCTTTGAGTTTGCCCATGCTTTGCCTTTTATTCCCATTGTACTGTGTCTCATTCAATTTTATATTAACATTTTCAAATTCCGTGGGCTAAAATTCTGCTTCTGCATTGTATATCCTGGCTGGAGGAGTGTGGGTGTAAAACTCTAGGTGTTTTTCTGATAGATTCACATGCTACAAAGATAACCCAGTAACTCAAGCAAAAAGCAGCTGAGAAAAAGCCATGTTGGTTACAGCAAGCACTGGATTTGCAGGCTATGGAGAAGAATTGCTTTTCCCAAAATCCATCTTGTCCTACCAAAGAAAAAAAAATCCCTTTATTCAGGCTTTGGTGAGGCTGTTTACTGGGGATAGCATCTGTATGTTAGATAATATATCAGTACTGGCACTGGAGCTGGGAATTTATTATTTGAAGAGCTGAAACACCTAGCTGATGAATATTACAGGCAAGGAAAAAAAAACCCAAAAAGCAGTGGTATTTGGTGTGTGGGGTTTTTTTCCCAGCTTTTAACGTAAGTTTTAGATAACCTCCATGAGCACTCCTTTTCCAAGGAGGTTTTTTCAATGCAAGGAACGTCCATGAGCGGACTGGTCTCTGTAGTAACTACGGTACATTGCTTGTTTGCCCACTGAAAATGAAAATCCAGGGAGGTTGCAGGAGCAAAGAACTTGTTTGTATTGAACATATTATACAGAAAACTAGGGGTCTGGGGGGGAGTACATTCCAAACATCATCTGTTTGTGGTGCTGTGGCTATACTAGACCAGAGAGCTACTGAACAATTTCTGAAAGCCAGAACTGGAAATTCTTGCTGAAGCTTCAGTCGGGAAAAACTTCCTTGATATCAGCCACATTTAAGTCTTTGAAACAATATACATGTAATTTTTAGTTGCTTTGCTTAAATAGGGTTGTTTCTAGTCAGCTGTTTTGGTTTTAGTTTGTTTTTTTTTTTTCTCCCCAGCTGCTGAACTTCACTGGTTCAAAATTTTTTTTTCTTTTTTTTTTTTTTTTCTTGGTGCTCAGATGAGTATAGGATCAAACCAGTGGAAGAGGTCAAATACATGAAAAATGGGGGAGAAGATGATCAGAAAATAGCAGCCAGGAACCAAGAAAACTTGGTAAGGATTGAACTTATCGCTTATCTAATGAAATAATGTGGCTCTGCTTTTGTGATGAAATATGCAACGTGCAGCACATTCAAGCTCCAGCTCACAAGAGGCAAGAGGATTTTCTCGAGAATGTCATAACTCCCTGCGACGCTCCCATAGAAGGTGCAAAATATGACTTTTTCCTGCTTGTCTTTATGAATTAGGCTTTGGTTTATCTTGGAGTGAGTGCTTCTACCGTTATACTCACCTCCTTTGCAGATCCAAATATACATGCTTTGAAATGTATGTGTCTGTATTGCAAATGAGTTGGTAGTAAACCAGCAGTGCACTGCCATTAAGAAAATTGCCTACTTATGGCTATTCTAGATATTATTTGCTCTGTGCTTCCTGTTTTTACACATTTTAAAATTCACGTGGAAGGGAGTTCAGAAGAGAAAAATGCAATATATCCGTGACACCACCGCTGCAAGAATCGTTATGTGTATTTCTTTTTCCCTGATTTGAGTACCTTGCCAGTTCATAGTTCAACTTACGGGAAGGAAATCTCAGGTAAACTCTTAGTACTACTTGAAATAACTCGGATGCTGTTGAAGCAGCTTAAAAATCACTGTTGAGTCATTTCTGGCATTTCTGAGAAGTCATTTCTTCTAAAGCTGGAGGAATGTCATTTTTGTAATTGGCTGACTGTTAAATTGCCCAAAAAGTTAAATTGCCCAGTTTAACTTTTTGAAGACATCTCGCAATTATGATAGTTGGGCACAAAATTTCACATTTGGTTGAATTAATTCATTGCAGCTTTTCTTCGGGTAGGGTTGGTTTTTTCCCTTCATCAGCAAGAAGGAAGGGGGAACATGATCAGTAGATTTTGGTGGAGCCATAACGATTATCACCAGCTGAGGATTTACCTTTTGCCATCACTGAGCAGCCATACAAAAATCCCCTGCTTGGGATTTTTTCTTTTCCTGGAGACGTAATTAAGCTCCAGTCCCTCTTCTAGACGCACATACTTGTGTTACCCAATTGCACAAGCATTTCTGTAGTAAATAGAAGAGTTTATTTTGCTGTGTGCTGTCCTTACCTTGTAGCTTGAACCGTGGTTGAGCAGCATGCAACATGATTTCTGCTTCGGCCTCCGGATTAGGTATTTGCCACCTGCAGTTTTGCATTGCTGATGCTGCAATGGATGGCACAGCTTCAGCCGGTAGCAGGATATTGGGATATTTTAAGGCCTCAGAAACATTGCTGAGAACGTCACCTTTTCTAGCAGCATCGGCAGTGCATTCAGCATTATGGCCAATGTAAGCACATTTGTTTTGAGCTGGAAGTGTGACTGCAAGAATTTTTTGTTCAGTTTAGAGACCCCAGTGCTCTGCTGGTAAACAGAGTAAAAGGAAAAATGAGCACAAGCGTCAGGTTTGGGTTTTTTCCCTCGGGGAAAAAGTCTAGCAGGTTAAATTTGCAACTAGCCTTCAGCTGTATTTAAATCAGAGTATTTGCAGAAGGTAATGTGCTGCTTGAATGACAATGAGGAAGACTTCAGGACAGCTTAGATCTGCTGAGGTGGCACAGTTGCTGCAGTTGTATTCAAAATTAGAGAGATTTTGTACTTGTGTAAGTGCTGGCTTTCTTGTCACCCAAGCGTTGGCCCGTTTAAATTTAGGAAGAGGCATTTCCATAGCACAGTGCTTATTGTTTTATTATTGATAGGTCATGTTTGATGGGAGCAGTGGGTTTGTTGGAAAGTATAACTTAATATGGACTTGGAGGGCTGGCATAGCTGTCTTTGCTGTCATGTCTATCAGGAGGAAAAAAAGAGACCAAAGAAAGTCTTCAATCGGACAGGATATATATACTTTAAAACAAAAACCATCTTGCACACCAAAAAGGCTTTATTTTTCTTTTCCTCATCTTACTATAAGGAGATTACATTGTAATGTATGCAGCTTTTTAATCCTGGGAATTGTCAAGTCCTCGTCACTTCTGGATTTTTTAAAGGGGTTTCACTGTTCGAGTTCTCCTTAGTAAACATGTTTTAGTTCACTGCTTATAAGATGGGTTAAGCTACCCATCACTCAGGCTTTAGTTTTCTTAACGTGTGAAAAGTTGGCAAGCGCTTACATAATCCAGTCTTCTCATCAGCCATTTCCAGGCAACAGAAATTTTAGGAACAAGAAAAGGCGGTGGGAGAATCGACTGGCCCTTTTCCCTCCTCTCTTTTTTCTTAATCCCATGTTTCTTTATTGTCACAGGGCTGCTAATTCACATCTCCTTCAGAAACACGACCCAGATGAAATCTATAACCTGAATGTCATTATAGTTGGTTCCCTGGGAACTGCTGCTGTGTGGGTTATTTCTGATGCTGGTACTTGAATTATGTTATTCAGAATTTTTCGGTCCCATTATCATCACTGTTACATTTTCTTAAGGTATTTTGAAGTCTTGCTTAAAAAAAAAAAAATCTCTGCTTAAGTGAAAATGAAACTGCTTCCCTTGTAACTTAGGCTGTTTGATGTGGCGCCATCTCTGCCTTTGGTGTTGCAGTATTTCTAAGTCAGAGCAAAAAAAAAAAGGTCATGCAAGTAGATAAAGAGAATGGGAGGACATGGCAAACACCAGGCAAAGTGTCATTTCATACCAGGGTCCTCTGGTTAGTGTCCCAGGCTTTTATTCTGCCTAAGGAGAGCGCAAGAGATGGGCTGGTGCAAGTGTGGGTATCCCTGGGAGAGTGAGGCTCTGTCAGTGATTCATCATCTTAGTTTCAACCTTAGGCTTAAGGAGGGCTCAAAACTTGAGCAAGGCTCACGCTGTGAAGCGGAAATACTCCTCAGTCGTATTGACAACGGGAATGGCTGTGCTAGGGTTGTATGCCAGGTGAAACAAGAGATGCTCCATGTGAAGACATTTTCAGGCAGAATCGAAGGCCTCCTTGAATTAAAATATAGGCTCTTGACAGGAGGAAAAAAAGAAAAGAAAATAAGAAAAGACAAAAAAGCCAAGTTTCTTTCAGACTCTGCCAGTCAATTACTGTTTTCCTGCTGTCCCCGTCTATCCATCGGCCTCGTTCACTTCTGTCGCCAGGTTGTTTCTCCAGTTCACTTGCTTCTGGGATCATTCTGGTCCTGGTTTCATTCCTGGTACCTCAGCTCCCAGCATCTTCCTGAGCATCCTGCCTGGGCATCTCCATCTTCAAAATGAAGCCACACGTTGCACTTGGTAGGGAAAATCTTGAGCTGACAGTCACACATCCTTGTAGATGGGATGTAGCAGGATTAGGTGCTGGAGAGCTGGGGTTACACTGCATGCTGGCACTCTGCACTGCACGCTTTAATAGCTGCTCAGCTAGAACAGGGACATTGGGAAACAAATCTGTAAAGAACTAGTATATATAGATGAAAGGCAGAAGTAATTTGTACTGCTTTTAAAGCCTATACTTTTTTAAATCATGAGTCTTGGTATGTACATGGAAATTATGCTTATTTTCAAATGAGATGTGATTGTGCATAAAAGTTCTTGAGTGTGTTGTTATTCCCGGAGGTAAATAAGCAACTGTGATGGTTATGTGTGCATTCAGAAGCAGAAAGGCTGGTTGCAATGGTTTATGGGGACTGGCGTGCCTGGGAAGGCGGGCGGGCTGGCTTTGCCCGCGGCGGACTGGGGTCTGGCAGGGTTGTCGGTTCAGGCACAGCTGAGACGGTGGTATCTCCACGCACAGCTTGGTGCCGACGTGCCAAGTGAGATGATGAACTCTCATGTGTTAGAACTACACCTTAATTCCCTTCCGATCCACAGCGGCTCAGCAAAAGCCCGCTGGGGCGGAGGTGAGCTCACCCACGTTCCCCATCTTCCACGGGGCACTATGGGTTGTTTAAGGGTTTTGTGATAAGGGTTGTCCAAAACAAAGAGAGTCTTACAGCTTTGAGTTTACCACTCAGCAGGTCTGGATGGGGTTTTTTTGGTCCTAAGTATTAGCAAAAGCTCATCACAGCTAATCACATATATTACGTATGTGGGATTATTTTGCATTGGAAAGCTAAAATGCCAAAGAGTCAGGAAGTATTTTTAAAAACTGAATCCATTCTAAAACACACCTGCTATGAGCAGGTCTGACTGGAATAAATGACACATTTCAATATTTCTAAAGGCCTATTAATTTTTTGTTTGGAAAGGACTCACTGTTTAGCTCTGCGACATCATGTTAAATACACCGAGTACAGTCCTAACAGCCTATTTAACATTCATAATAGGACGAATTTGTCTTCGTTTCCATACTCTCACGGCACCAATAGCTTTCTATTGTAAAGTTTTATTGCCAGACAAGTTAAAATAAGAAGGTGTGGCGTATTTGTGCGTTTTAGCATTGCTTTGGCAAACTTGATGAGCTGTATCAGTTTTGCTCTGAGACAGTCTGTAATAGTACAGAAACCTCTGAAAATACCAGGTACCTAAAGCTACCTTTTTTGGTGTTCGATAGTTAACTCAAAATGTATTGCACTTCAGTTTTTGGATGGTTTTCTAACTTTTACTAATAGAAATCTTTCTCTGGACTGCACTGGCACAAAAGGCTACTTACTGGGATTTTTATGCTTTGTTATCCACACCCTCAAAACAATTGGGCATAATCCTCTGTTTTGTCCTAAAGCTCCATAGTGAAATTGCATGTCAGAGCTTGAGATTAATTCCTGTTGGAGTTAGAAGCGTATTACCTCTCCCCGTTGCTCTTGCTATCTCTCACTCCGCCTTTAATAACATTAACAATGTTTTGCCTTCCCCCTCCCCCCTTAAGTATAAATTTCTACTCCACTTTGCTGCAAATGTGATTTTTGTCAGCCTTGCGTGTGCTGTTATTTGCTAACTGTGTCTCGAGTTCCTCAGCCCAGCTGCTGTTCTCCATTTATCATTCAGCTCTGTAATACTTTGTATTGCAAAACCTCAGTCTCTGTGGCGCTGTATTCAACACCAGTTGTCATTTTCTGCAGTGATGTGTTAAAAGTCGCCAGTAGTATCTGATA